GGACTGACAAAATTTTTAAGTGCTTATATTTCATTGAGTGTTATAATTTTGATGATAGTAACATTTTATACTGATAAGACAATTAGAAACACTGAATGAATCCATATCTAGTTCACTAAAATAATACAATGTATGACCCTAGGTTATCTTGTTGACACATTTCACAATTTCACGTGATACTGAAAACTTTTATGTTTATTATTAAAAACTGATTATGCTATTAATAAACAATAACAAATGATTGGTAGTTTTAAGAAAATAAGTAGGGGAAACCTGGTTCAGGAGGTAAGAAATATTAATAGAGTTATACTATTAGGAGCAATAGATTTATAAATTACTATTCGGAACATCCTACAAAAATGAAAATAAACTTAATTTTGGGACTAAAAAGCAGATAGTTTAAAGAGACTAAAAAACATACTAATGGAAAACTCTTATACCGTAGACCTACTCTAATAAATTAATTTTTAGTACTGCAAACTCTCCAGCCTTCATCACATCGATCAGCAATACCAACAATAAAAAACAAATCACAGTAAAAACGCAAACCATGGAATAAACAATAGCCTGACAGTTAACACCTTAATACCAACAACACCAAAAACTTTTGGATCTTTACCTTATATTCCATTCTTAACACCGAAACTTCTCAAATTATTTAAAGGATTAGAAAACATAAAAATTGCCACTAGAAATGTTAAAACCATAGTATACTTATACACGAAAACTAAAGATCCTCTAACAACTAAGGAAATTTCTAAAGTAGTGTATCAAATACCTTGGTCAGACTGTGATAAGGTTTATATAGGAGAAATTTCTCGAATATTACACAGCAGAATCATTTCTCACAAAAGTGATGTAAAAACGAACAAATCACAAGCTTGTGCATTAGCTGACCATTCCAGTCAGCTAGTAAATAAGAAAATTAATAATTATAACTAAATAATTTTTATATTTATTTGTTAACAAATGTCTTGAAAAGAAAATAAAATAAATTCAAACAGTTGACAGTAAGTCAAAGAGTTTTCTTTGTCTTGTGAGCCAAATAGACTGCATCCTCAAGAATCACCACTTGATATTTAAATCAACAGTCAATAACACCACCATCAACAATGAGAAAATACCCAGGACTAAAACAACAAAATACATTGGGCTACACCTGGATCAAACGCTGTATTGGAAGGAACACATCAGCAAAAAAAAACAATAACAAATACAACTAAGACAAAAAGAAATCAATTATTTAATTGGAAAAAACTCTAACTGTCAATAAATAATAAAAGTTTGATTTATGAAACAGTTATAAAACCAATATGGACTTATGGCATAGAGCTGTAGGGCTGTAGTAGTAAATCCAATATTGCTATAATGATGAGACGTCAATAAAAAATCTTAATAGCAATTGTTGATGCACCCTGGTACGAAACAACCAAAGAATCTATGCGGATCTCAACATCTCAACAGTGAAAGAAGTAATCCCACAAAAGAAATCACAATACATTCAAAAAGTGGACAAAGTCTCCAATCCATTAATTTTCGAAATATCTCAACATCAAGTTATCGGAAGACCAAAGCGACGTTGGCCAACAGATCTGTAATATGGACACGTGATTCTCTCACTGGAGGGGACCACATCACGCCAGAAGCAAGGGACGGGACCTAAACTCGCAACATTAACTTATCTAATACATGTTTTTATTCTGATTGTTAATTTATTAGTTATATTAAAAAAAATATTTTGTCAAATTAAACTTTTTACTGAAAATCAAATTTATACAAAAAGAATTAAACAAAACAAAATGATGAGGCAAATTAAATAAATTTTCGTTTATCCAACCGAGTTTTACGACAGATTTTTCAGCATGCTCAACTGCATCGTATACCAGGTGAAAATACAACACCACACACGCTGCGATTATAGTTCAAACGGTCAAATCGACTTGAGCTGTACCTACTGTACAATGAATCGTAATAATCGTATCGTAAAACAAAATACAGCAAGCATGGTATCCAAACTTTTAAGCACGTTTTTTCTCTTTAAAATTAATTGATGAGTACGAATGGTACATTGTACTGTTTTTATAAAGAACGATCATCGAAAAGATTTTTTCAAAACAGTTTCAAAATATTGTCAAATTTATTTCAAGTTCTTACCTGAACACATACGGAATACTCTTGACCAGGTTTTAAGTCTTGTATCCTACAAGAGAGGGAAGGACCACTGTAGATTGATTTAAACTTCATTTCTCTGCTTTTGTCGCTGAGGAGGACCTCGTACCTTAGATCGGACTCTGAAATATCAATGTCATGGCTATCGTTGCTCGCTGATTCAGATAAACGGACGGGTGGCGCCCATTGCAATAAGGCACTACGGGAACTTAATTCAGACACCTAAAATAAAATTATACAATTTAAAATGTATTTTTTTATTAAAAAAAAAGAGGTTAAATCTTTGTAAGTGGGTATATTTAAAAAACCCTTAAAAGGGCTACATCAAATTAACACGAACGTTTTCGGAATAATAATTCCATCATCAGGTTAAAAAGCAGGTTAACATGCTTGAGCCACCAAAATATTAGGGTAAAAACCCTTTAAAGTAAGTAAGGTTACCAAAGATTGTACATATTGTTGTTAATAATAATTGATGTTTAATATTTTATTATATTTTACTTCAGGTAACAGACACCCATGCCTTACGTGAGTAACACCCATGACCTCTTCAAACAGACTTCAGCTGGTAACTACAGCTGGAGTTATTTATAAGGAACAAGCAGAAACGCGAAACTAGACTAGAACAGAAAAGAATTCAACCTAGAATATCAATCATTAGAAATAGAACAGGAAAGATCATTAGTGATCAGGACCAGATACTAGAAAGATGGGCAGAAAACTTAGAGGAAAGGCTAAATATAAGAGGTGAGACAGGCTCCACGAATCAGAAATCCAACTCGAGGACATTGACGATGAAAGAGAGAAAGATAACATCCCAACAGAGTACAAGTCATCCAAGCTATACAGAAATTGATAGAAAACAAAGCTCCTGAGGCAGATGGCATTCCTTCAGAACTTTTAAAGCATGGCAAAAAAAACCTGACGTACTGTATATGAAGACTGGTAGAACTGATCTGGAAGCAAAGAAATTTGCCAGAAGACTTGAACGTAGGTCTAATTGTCCACAAGAAAGGAGATCAAACAATATGTGACAACTACAGAGGAATAATCCTCCTAATCGCCCCACCTCAAAATATCTACGATTTTTGCTATTGGTCGACTGATGTGAAAATTCCATATAGAAACATATAAATATGGGACATTTTCAATTCATGGCTAGTCCAGGAATAAAGCGCGTCATGCTGTAATGAATTTGAATTGGTTAGGGAACCATGTTGGAGTTCTATTACCGTGGACTCCCACATGAAGAGCATTTGGCTCATAGTTGTGCCCCTATAGTTGTGATCATAGTTCTTTTCCCTAATTTCTTTATCAACTCCTTCTCTCCAACTTCTAGGCCTTCCTGGTTTCCGCCTGCCTCTTGGTTGCCATTCAAGAATTTGTCTTGCTATTCTATTCTCCGGCATTCTCCTTACGTGTGCGTACCATCTGAGTTGTGTCGTTTTGATGTCATCAACAATATTATCTGTAACCCATGAATTGTTACACCCGAACGTAATTCCTAGTGATGAACATATCTCCACAGACGGGGTTTAGTTAAATTGCTTCACGGCTAGTCTGGTTTCGGCTTCCATGTAGGGTCTCCTGTAGCCTGAGCATCGAGCAAAAAGACAAAAGAGGGAATGTAAGGGTAGTGGGGGGCAAACATATTGTTAGACAGGAAGTGCGATCTTTAGAGGCCACATTCAACAAGGAAAGGGAGTCTCTCTCCTTGTTTGACATCAAATTTAGTTGGGTTATGTTATTGTTTATCCCAAATGTCACATGAAATCTTAAATTGTATCGCATTTTAGACTATTATCGTTAATAATTAATTAAAACTTTCTCGTCTAAGACACATTCTGAAAAATATTATATAGCTACTGTTGATAGGTGTCGGAAAATTTAAATTTGGCGCATTCGCATTTCCGGATATGACCGCCATCAGAGGCCACTTTTTTGGTCTCTTTTCATAAGGATTAGATTCCCTCTTTTGTCTTTTGCTCGATGAGCCTGAGAGTCCGTTGTCTGGGCTCGGTTCTTCAAACTCAGACTCTGTGACTGGACATTTGTCACCTTTAAAAATGTGTTTTTATTTCATTCGTTATGTGAATATCCACCGAAGATGGAACATACGGGGCACTTCGAATGGATTGGTCGAAGTCTCTCTGTAAGGCACCGTGGAAATGGATAAGTGGCCGTAGTTTTCCAAGCACTTTCTTCCCATTTGATGATAAGTAGGAGTATCTGATTCTGTTGGTCGGAGTTGGTTGACCTTGTCTCTTCTGTGGACAGGGGCAGTTTTGTACGGTGGCTTTGCTATTAACCAATTCCCTCCAGAAACAATATTTTTCAGATTTGTTTGTTAATTAATTAATAACTTTATTTTTACAAACGCGTGGACGACAGCTGTGGCTGCAGCCTCATCTAGAGCAGGTACTATTGTGCAATGAGATCGGGAATATACTTAATGTATGAAATACCAGCTACTGCAGCTTCTTATAGAGGGGAAGGTAGAAGGAAAACGTGGTCCTGGTAGACGGCAGGCGTCCTGGTTGAAGAACATTCGTGAGTGGACTGGTTTGGATTCTCAATCTTTAATAAGAAAAGCCAGGGACAGAAATGATTTTGCTGAGGTTATCGCCAACCTTCATTGAAGACGGCACCCAAAGAAGAAGAGATAAAATATCACGTACACAAAAGAATACAAATAAGCTTTATCTACTAACGTAAACATACCTTAGGTGCCTGGACGGACGACAAAATATCAGTAGCAATCTGTATAGAGTCCTCTTCATCGGGTACGCTGCTCTCCTCCCCATCTTCGCTAGTCCCGACACTATTCATACCTTTATCTTTTAATCCCGCTCTCTTTAAACCATTCACTAATTCTTTCCTAGGTATCAAACCGTCGCTCTTTTGCTGTTTGTCATGCAGTTTTTTCTTAAGTTTGATGTGTTGTCGCTGTGTCCTCTCGTCTTTGTAATAAGTAGTTGGATTTGGTGGCGGAGAGTGACCTAGGTGGTTGGCTACCGGATGACCGGATTGGAGATTGGAATGGAATTGTTGTGGGGCAAAGCCGGCAGGAAGTCCGGGGTAGAACTGTTGAGATTGAGGGTTGTTGTTGCCTGGACCACCACCCTGAAACAATTAAGTAATTATATTATAGGAAATATATACATTTGTCTAAATCAGACAAAAGTTGGTGTGAAGCGGTCATTACAGTGTATTACTGGTTAAATAATTAATAGAACCCAATTTAAAAATAACCTGAAGTATGGTATTCTCTAAATAAATATCTATTTCGAACTTGTATTCTACCTTATACTCGATTACCGCAAAATATTTTTTGTAAAACATTACGAGTTATAGGTTGTATAATATTTTATAAGATCACTAGTGACTTTGCCCGTCGTATGCAACGGGACTCAAACCAATTTATCAGTCATCTACAGTCAGTCATTAAATTTTTAAAATAATAAACTTTTTGCATATAAATCAAGTAAATATAAAGTATGGGATGACTTATTAGCTTATAAACATTTATAATAACTTTGACATTTTTTATGTCCTATATACACTTAAATATAGGCTCAATGAAAAGCTGGTGAAAAAACACACTTTGAAAAAAAAAACAGAACCTTCTATGACCAAAAGGACACCAGATGCATTTTTTTCTTCGAACTATATTTCCATTGTTTATTAACATTTGAAGCTTAAACTTAAACAAATTGAAAAAGAAAATCTAAATTTTATGATCCAACTAATAGATGGCATATACAGTGAAGAAGTAAAAAGTTATATCCCGGTAAAATGACGGTACTCGTAAAATACCGCTGCTGAAATGTGGTGGGGACAACTGTCCGTCGCAATGTCTCAGCTTGTTTCTTGTTATTGGTGCTAGAAGGATCTGTTTTTTTTTTGGAAGTGTGCTTTTTTACCAGCTTTTCAGAAAGCCTAGTTAAAACCAGAAGATAACAAATGAAACCACTAAAACGAAACACTAAATCAATGGAAAAATAATTTTATTGTATTTTCATTAATTTTTTTGGTATCTAAAAACGATGAGTGGCCGAAAAAATTCGACATTTTCCTGCAAAATTTAGGAGTCCAAAAACAACAAAATAGTTTGTCAGGTCTCACCATTAAGTACACATAAATTTGTAATTTTGTATTGATAAAATTGAAATCCTATATACCTTTTCTACTAATAAAAATCGGATCTTAAAATCGGATCGGATCTCTTCACGGATCTTAAAATATATCACTAATGGTCCTCACAGGCCTCACCCGACCGAACGTGTAATTATTGTTTTAATAACTTTATGCTCCATCTATATCTTCTTCTTTGGGTGCCGTGTCCGTATTCAGACGTTGGCCGTCATCATGTTTACAATTTCCTGAAACCTTTCTCTGTCGGCTGCTGCGCGAAATAATTCTTCTACTGTGAAACCACACCATTGTCTAATATTCCGCAGCCATGAAAGTTTCTTTCGACCAATCCATCTCTTTCCTTCCACTTTTCCTTGTATTATAAGGCGAAGTAAATGGTATTTGGATCCCCTAATTATATGGCCGAAGTATTCTGTTTTTCTCCTCTTTATGGTGTTTATGAGCAGACGTTCTGAGTTGATCATTTGAAGAACATCTTCATTGGAAGTGTGCGAAACCCACGATATCTTTAGGATTCGTCTATAGTACCACATTTCGAATGCTTCTAATTTGTTTTGCATTGTGGTTTTTAACGTCCATGTCTCACAACCATACAATAGGATCGACCACGCATAACATTTCAGGACCTTCTTACGAATGTTCATTGACAGGTTTCTGTTGCATAAAACTGGTTTCCAGGTCATAAAAGCCTTACGTGATATTTCGATCCTGGATATCATCTCTTCATCAGAGTGACAATTTACATTTAACCAGCTGCCAAGGTATTTGAAATGATTTACCCTTTCTATCTCTTCTCCATTAAGAGAAAGCAGACCTTGATCTATATGAATATTTCCAACTGCCATCCACTTTGTCTTTGAAATGTTGATTTTTAGGCCTCTCCGATAACTTGCTTCACTGACTAGATTTAGTAATGTTTGGAGATCTTGTAAACTTTCTGCAAGAATGGCTGTATCGTCAGCGTATCTAATATTGTTGATTACTTCTCCACCTAGTCTTACTCCCTCTTGTCTGTCATCCAAAGCCTCCCTAAAGATTTCTTCAGAGTACAGATTAAAAAGAGTGGGTGACAAAACACCACCCTGCCGTACTCCACGTTTGATGGGTGTTTTTTCAGTGGGACTCTCTCCAATTTGGATAGAGGCTACTTGATTGTAATATAAGTATTTCAGCAGTCTTATATCATAGTGGTCAAGTCCTGCTGCCCGTAGGCAGTCGAAAAGTGTATTGTGTTGGACTCTGTCGAACGCCTTCTCGAAGTCGATGAAACAAACATAAACATTCTTTCGGAATTCACAACTATTTTGTAATAGAACGCGCATACAGAATAGTGCCTCTCTAGTTCCTAGACCGTTTCTAAATCCAAATTACTTATCACCCATCTTACTTTCGCATAAAAGGAATACTCGGTTTTGTATAATTCGTAAGAGCATCTTCAGTGTGTGACTCATCAAACTGATTAGTCTAAAATCGCTGCATTTGGTGGGCCTGCTTTTCTTTGGTAATGTTATAAACAGTATAAACAGTGACTCTAACCAATCATCTGGTATTTTTCCTTCGTTGTAAATTTTGTTGAAGAAAGTGGTTAAGCAGGCAATGCTTTCCTCATCCAAAAGTTTAAGTAGTTCGGCAGTTCCATCTATATACGCTTAATAAAAAATTACCTCTGTAGTTCCCCAACATTAAGTACTACAGTATGTTTACATCGTACATTTAGATTTAGCGTTTAAGGTCATGGCATATTATCATGCATATTGCGTTTCCACCCCTTAGCGTTTAGTTACCGAAAAATATAATTTAAATGGTTTTAAATATGAACAATTCACACTCTCAGGGACATATCGTATCAGACACCTTACGTTTCCGTTCAGTATATTCGAAAACAATAATTACTATTTAAATAGGAAGATACTGATCAGACAAAAGAAATAAGATGCCGCATTGAAATTGCGCGGTCAACTTTTAATAGAATGAGAAAACTTTTTTGTAATCGCGATATCAATATATCGCTCCGGATAAGAATGCTTCGATGTTATATTTTCTCTACCCTTTTGTATGGAGTTGAAGCTTGGACAATTAAAAAATCCAACATTAAAAACCTAGAAGCATTCGAAATGTGGTGTTACCGACGCATTTTGAAAATATCATGGATGGATCGCAAAACAAACGAACAAGTTCTCGAACAACTAGGAAAACAATGCGAAGTTTTAAATTCCATAAAGATCAGGAAATTGGAATACTTGGGGCACATCATGAGAGGTGAAAAGTACGAACTACTAAGGAATATAATGCAGGGTAAAATCAAAGGTAGAAGAAGCGTAGGAAGACGTAAAATCTCGTGGCTACGCAATCTCCGTGAGTGGTTTGGATGCAGTTCAATTGAACTATTTAGGTGAGTAACCAATAAAATTATAATTGCCAGAATGATTTCCAATCTCCGATAGGAGTGGAACTTGAAGAAGAAGAAGGAATAAGCCACAATTAAAGGTTAATGTACGATTATTGAAGTTTCAATTTCTACTTCGGAAATCGTTCTCAAAATACAAACATTAGTAAATTAAACAAATTTTGTTTTTTTGTTACTTGGCGAAAAATTCTTCTAATTATTTAATTTTATTTGACACATTTATATTGACAATTCAGACATAAATTATACATTTTAAAGTAGATGACTTTAAAATGATATTACCAATATTGTTGAGTTGCGCTTCTGGAGCGACTTTACTAATAAGATAGTTCATTCGATTACATGAAATCAACTTTAACTAGAGAATATTCGTCAGAAAAAATCATAGCATGTAATTGGTCTTTCAAATACTGCATGATGAGAGTAAAATTCTCCTGTTAGTGATTCCATAGTAAATTATGAGGGAAAAACTAGGAAAAAAACCTTATAATACTATCCGACATGGTAAGTATTTGGTCGTGCATTTAGTTTACCTTCCTACCTGAAATACCAGGGCCCACACTAGCTGAAGTAAAGTCCGCAATTTCGTCCCTAAAAAACCATAAAGCCTAAGGCCCAGACGGCATACAGGCGGAACTACTAAAAAAGGGGGAAAAAAGCTCCACCTTGAGATATATCATCATCTTATAAGAGAAGTCTGGGAAAGAGAAGAAATATCGAAACACTCGCATGAAAGCCATATAGTATCTACCCACAAGAAGGGAGACAAACAAATATGTCGGAACTATAGAGGAATATCGTTAATCAATAGAACGTACAAAATTATATCCGTAATACTGTTAAAGACTAACTCATACGCAAGAAATAATAGGCGACTACAAAGGGATTCAGACGGAAGGTCGACCATTGACCGATATTCGTCCTACGCCAGGTGTTGAAAAAAAACTGGGAGTTTAACCGCGATGTACACCAAATCTTCGTGGACTTTAAAGAAGCTTACGATTCTGTTAGCAGAGAAGCATTGTGGGAGACCATGGTAGAAATGCGAGTACCTGGAAAGCTGGTACGATTAGCACAGTTGAGCACAGAGAACGCTTCCGCACGGATCAGAATTGGCAGCACCACGTCAGAGAATTTCTCATTGACACCGGGCTTAGACAAGGAGATCCTCTCGCCTCCCTGCGATTTAATTTTGCACTGAACATGCGGTCAGGAAAGCTCAACCACAACTGACAAACGGATTTGCCGCCAAAGGATTAAAAATACTATTGGCGTTTGCGGATAACGTGGACACAATTGCACAATCCATCAGAGATGCAAAAGAAATTTTCACCCTATTAAAAAACGGAGCCAAGGAAGTTGGTCTGAAGGTCAACGAGGAAAAACCAAGTACATGGTGGTTACGAAGAACCCAAGGCCAAGGGTTATTAGACAAAACTAACAGTCAATGAATATGACTTTGAAGTCGTCAAAGAATTCAAGTACCTGGGAGCGATCATAACATCTGAAAACAAATATAAAAAGGACGTGGCAGCTAGGATCATTGCAGGAAACAGGGCATATTAATTACTCATTAATGACCGTACTTAAATCAAAAATACTCTCAATACCAGCAACAATAAAAGACAATAATTGGTCCCACAATAACGTATGGAAGCGAGAAATGGACTATGAACCAGCGGGAAACGACAAAATTACTGGTACTGGAAAGAAAGATACTGCGGACTATCTATGGGCCTTGCAGAGAAGAGACAAGAGGAGAATGGAGAAGAAGACACAATGATGAACTACAAATAGTATATGGAGATGAAAACATAGTACACTACATTAAAGCAAACCGAATAAGATAGCGGGACACGTGCTAAGATCAAGTGACGAAAGACTCCTGAACTCCTGGGAAAGGCCCGATGGCAGGTCAGTTGATCGCCCAGTGATCTACGCAAAATGGGAATACAGCAATTGGAAAAAGCTGCTCAGGACCGACAACAATGGAGGGAAATAGTAAACGTGGCCATAGAGTTATAGAGCAAAATGATGATAATGATGATTTAGTTTACCTTCAATAAACACCAAATTCTGATTTTATATGTTTGTTATTTAAAAAAATAAATGATGTATCCTCCATTTGTTACTGACTTACTAATACTGGTATTTTCCTTTTAATAACTTCCTCTTTTATAAATAAAAAAGAAAATATTTGGAAAAGAGAGAACACATCTTCACCGCACCAAACTGAAACGTTCTATGTCTGAAAATGTGGACGGGCAGTCCGATTGCTGGACTGGAATCGCTACTTGCCGGAAACTATACGTGCATGATAATATGCCGCGACCTTTAGTTGCACACTCACACATACAACAAAGTACATCCCAGCTTCAGGGGACATAATATTGCCGAAGTGAGTTGGGATAGGATACGAGCGAGAAATCAGTTAAAAAATACGCTAAAATGCTTTTGGAAGAGGATACAACTGTGATTGTACATATATAACAGCATACTGCAAGGAATGTGCTGACCGAATTTGATTATCAATATTTTCTAGATGGACACTTTTTTAAAACATTACAATGTTACTTTTTTCTTTAAAATGGAATATTTACTTTTGGGTTACCTTTTCTTATTTCGTTGTAAACTAAAAATAAAAACAAAATGCGAAAAATGTTGATAATTTTTATATACTTTTTTCTTTCTCACAAATCTTGAATATTGCAATTTTATTAAATCAGCAAACGCTACTATTCCCCAAGAATGGAACGCATGGCAAAATAATGTGCCCTGCATTACCCACAAGCTACCAGGTTTTGATCTTCCACGTAAAACATGGTCCACTCTAAATAGGATCCGAACCAGACATGGCAGATGTGCATACATGCTACATAAATGGGTAAAGAATCGGTCTAATCAATGTGACTGTTTGGAGAACCAAACGATCGACCACATTATTGAAGAGTGTCCCTCAAGATCCTACAATGGTAGCCCTGAAGACTTCCTGTTCGCAACGTCAGAGTCAATTGATTATATTAATACACTTGATGTTTGTTTGTAACTATTTAAAGTTGGTCATATGCCTATATTACTAGTGTTTGTAATTTTGTTCTAAATGTGTTGTAATTACACACACATGGATATACCTATATTGTTTAAGAAAATTTGTTTCATTTTTATTTATTTAGGAATTTTTTATTTTTGTGTCCGCTGTTGAGTTAAAAATAAATTATATTATTCAGTTTCTTACTTTATGCACATAACACCAAAAAAACAATCAATTATTTGTAACACGTGAAAACCCAAGAGAATAGACAGCAATTGGTTTTAAAAAATGAATCCAACAAAATAACAATAATAATTATCCTAACCACTAATCGCAAATATACATGTGTATTCAGTACACTATCACAAGGTCACCATATGTTCCTTCCGTAGCGACAATTAAGGACACTAAATTATGCAGTAACTAACCTACCTTACTGTTATCACTCTTGTCATCTTCACCATCTTTACAATAAATCTTATCATCGTCTTTCTGCATGATACCGATCATGTATATTGAATACTCGTAACACTGAACTCTCTACATAGGTATCAAACACTTCATAAATATGATGTGGCAGGAGTTGATACTGGTATATGAATGATTATATTGCTTACGTTGCCTCGCGGGAGTATAATTTGCTATCGTATAGATAAGATTATTTTAATGGATTAATAGAATTGTACGCTTTTTTAAATGACGACAATGTGTGCTATGCAACCTCTGTGAAGTACTGAAAATGCATCGTTTACGTCAGTAATCAGGCGATAATATTCTAGACATTTTAAAACTACTATGATATTTATAGAACAAAAAACGTTTGAACACTGGTATGGGATCTTGAACATAAAATAGTAAAATATGTCGATAATTTTGCTGCAACAAACCTCAAAAAAAATGTTAATTGCTTTCCAACCAAAAAAATGGAAGTTATAGAAATACAGTAGTGTTAAAAAGTCCTGCATCATCTTACCAAATACATGAAAATAGAAGTTTAAGGCATTTACCTTAATATTTTTTAACCATTTACTATCTACATCAAACAAGCACTTAAACACAATATTGTAAAGGGAAACACAGCAAAAATTTTGATTAATAATAAAATGTAGTTCGGATTTTTTGCATTCAATATTACAAAAATTAGACTATTTACATCAAGCCGATATTGTACATCACATTGAAGTAATTTAAACTAATTTTAATATTTAATTGGCCAGCCCTTGCTTTAAATAACTAGTTCACATCTTTTGGGCATGGCTTTTATTAATTTTTGAAGTTCCTCCATGTAAATACAGTAGGTTTGTTCCAACAGACATTTTCAGAACTAATTCTGAACCGATACTGAACTATTGAGTGCGCATGTCAATTATTCTGAGTTAATTCCTGGTTAATTCAGAACTGGTTCATGTTTTGGCACTTGCTGGAACGTGCTGGAACGCATTAAATTAAAATTGGCATTTGATAGGTGACATATAATATTGTTAAATCCATGGCCTGGAATCTTATATGAATGACTTGGTTCATTCCCCCATCACTTTAACCCCAGCGAGTTAATAAAGAGAAATGACAGCCTATCTCTCTCACGAAGACTTTAACCAATCATAAACCAAATAAAATAATCAAACGAAGCAATGTCAATTCTGTCAATCCAAAGTTATGACAGATCTTCCGTTTGTTTACAAGTTTTCAATTTTATTTTATTATCTTTAACTTTCGTTTGCATTTATTCTTAGTAATTTTAATTTAAATTTGGTTACTTAATTTTTAAAGTTTATTTTGAGTTACCTTGTAGCAAAGAATTTTTGTGTTGTGCTGGTAACAAAACTAAACATGGTGAATTATTGTATTGTTCATTGTGTACAAATCATGGAAAAATTACAAAAAGGATGATAGTAAGTTGTCAGGAAGCAAAACATAATAGTAATTAACTTCTGCAAATATGTGTAATAAATATTATGTAATTATTTTATAACTGTTTTATCTTAAACAACAAATAAATATACGTATATCTAGAAAAAATTGTGCATCTTTTATATATCCTTATTTTCCAATAAATTTTAATTAGTAACGAAATAGCCCACAAGAGGCGCTAAAGGGTATTTATGTAAGGGGTGTTCATTCGAATTTGCCGCCAAAAGATGATTAGTATTGACCCCAGCCGCAAGGGGTCCTAATGAACGAAATTTATACATTGAGTTGCCTATCTATTTCTACTATTATATTATTTATCTATGGTTAAATCATTTTTCCCTTTCCGTTATCAAAGAATATAGTTTGCCGTTATTTTCAGGTGTTTCTCTGGCTGTTGTTGTTGTTGAACTGAGATTTGTATTGTAATATAATAACCAAAATTATGTAAATAGATCTATATAGGTACTCCACATTTTAAACAAGTATAATAATATTGGATTACAAAGTATATAATTTTAGTTAAAGAAATGTTTATATAATACAGATTCTGGAATTACAGTCTCTGTTATCAAAACATTAAAAAATATATTGCCTTGGTAAGATTATACTATATTAGTCATATGTGTAGAGGTTATTACATTACTTACATATATATTAATGAGGGGTGAGAAGTAAGTATTACTGAGGTTGATTATGCAAGGGAAGATACAAGGGAAGAGAAACCCTGGACGACGCAAAATGTCCTGGCTAAGAAATTTGAGAGAGTGGTTCGGCTGCAGCTCATTAGAATTATTCAGAAATGCGGCCAACAAAGTTAAAATAGCGATGATGATTTCCAACCTCCGCTAGGAGAAGGAACCCGAAGAAGAAGACATATATATTCTAAAATTTTACAATTGAAATAATAAACGCTTTCTTTTTGGTGATGTTCAAATTGTCTTTAATCCATCGAGCAAAAAGACAAAAGAGGGAATGTAAAGGTAGTGGGGGCAAAAATATTGTTAGACAGAAAGTGCGATCTTTAGAGGTCACATTAAACAAGGAAAGAGAGTCTCTTTCCTTGTTTGACATCAAATTTAATTGGGTTATGTTATTGTTTGTCCCAAATGTCACATCAAATCTTATTTATATTGAAGTTTTTTTAAAAATTGTGTCGCATTTTAGACTATTATCGTTAATAATTAATTAAAACTTTCTCGCCTAAGACACATTCTGAAAAATATTATACAGCTAATGTTAATAAGTGTCTGAAAATTTAAATTTGGCGCATTCGCATTTCCGGATATGTCCGCCATCAGAGGCTACTTTTTTGGTCTCCTTTTCATAAGGATTAGATTCCCTCTTTTGTCTTTTTACTCGATGATTTAATCATAGAACATTGACATCTTTGTGCATGATAATTAACCAACATAGTGCATATATCAGGTAACAACATTTATATAAAGAAAGCAGACTTTAAAGGTTAATAAATGTTTGGGATATAAAATACTGGCAATTATAACAACTAATACTGACAAATATAATAACAACAACAAAATAATAAATGGGATAAATTTAAATGATAATTTTTCGACTGTTCTAACAACCATTCAAATTTCGTCATTTTGTGTCATGTGGAACAATTTCACCCAATCATGTCAACATTAGACTGATAATTGCATTCAGTGCAATTCAGTACAAACAACGTCTAGACCAAAAATTAATAGAATTCAGATACGGCAACATCGAAGAAAGATATGAGCATATAAAGGCGAGTATAAAACAAACAGCATTTGGAGAGAATGAATATATAACAAATAAAAAGCACTATTATGAAATAAATGAACCAACAAAAAGGATATTTGAAGAAAAAGAGCAACTATACAGAAAATGGCTGACTACAAACAACGATGAAGTTTATAAAGAATATAGATAAAAAGATAGAAAAGTGAAAAAACAAATAACACAACCAACTAATGAAAAATGGGAAAGAACCTGCTTAAATATTGAACCATACATAGGAGGTACAAGAACTTCGGAGTCATGGAAAGTACTGAGAGGACTAAAACAAAACAAAAGAAAAAACTAAATTGGCAAATATACAGGACAAAGAATAGAAGGGCAAGCAACTGTTAACAGAACATAAACCACAATTCATTGAAAAAGAAAACAGGCGAAGACGAAGCAGATCCCCACAAAAAGAAATAGAAATAACAGATAGGGAAATAAGAACGGCCATAAAAGCAATCAAAAATAAGAAAGAACCGGGACCTTGAGGCATCTCACCTGAGCTAAAGTACGGCTCAAAGAAGTTTACACCGAATAATAAAATGGATATTTCAGAAAACCATAAATGGAGAACAGCTCCTAAAGGAATGGACGGAGGCATATATGACATCTATATTTCAGTAAGAAGCTAGAAAACGATGCGAAAACTACAGAGTAATAAGCGTAATATCATCAATTGGAAGATCATATGGGAAGATACTGCGAGAAAAGATAGAGCAAGCGATATAACGCAAAATCGGGGAGGATCAGGCAGGCTTCACGGTAGGAAGATCATGCATAGATCACATAGACTGGAACAACTGTTGGAAAAGAAAAAAGCAAAAAATAGAGAAACATTTGGCATTTGTGAACCTGATAAAGGCGGATGACTCTGTACCAAGGTCAGAAATATGGAAGGAAATGTACAAATTAGAAATACAGACGGAACTCATAGAAGCTACAAAAGCTCTGTATAAAGAAATTAAAATGGAAACAAGAATCATAGGAAACTTCACCACAACAAAAGGACTCCTGCAGGGTTGTTCCACATCCCCAACCCTATTCAAAATATTCTTAGAGAAGGCCTTGACACCATGGAAATGAAAATGCGAAGGTATGGGAGTACCGGTACGAAACGAATGCCTATATACGTTAAGTTTTGCAGACGATCAAGTAGTGATTGCACAAGACCAAAAAGACCTCAGTTACATGATGAAGAAACTACAAGAAGAATATACCAAGGCTGGCCTAGATATTAACTTCGCGAAAACAGAGTACCTATCTACAAGTGAAAAAGATATAGAAGATCAACAGATTGACGACAATGTAACAATCAAAGGAAATGGTAAATTCAAATACATGGGGTTTATAATCACGAAAAAGGCAACAACAGACGAAGAAATTAAGCAAAGATTAGGACAAACAAGAACAGCAATCCGACAACTTAACTCAGTATGGTGGGATAGACACCTAAATATGAAGACCAAAACACAGATTTATAAAACATTAGTGCGAAGCGTTATGACATGGGACTGAAAATTGGATTATAAATAAGAAAAACAGCATTAGGATAGTAGCAACAGAGATGGAATGCCTGCGAAGATGCTGCAGAGTAACAAGAAGGGATAGGAGAAGTAGTGACGAAATAAAGCAAAGAACATCAATAGAAACAGACATACTAACATATATAGAACAAAAAAGACTACAGGTATCTAAATGTAAGAACTAGCGACAGCAGATGGATAAAGAGAATATCCGAATGGAGCCCTATAGGAAGGAGGAAAAGAGGACGACCACGAAGATCCTGGAGGAACGAAGTAGACGACGCCATGAGTAAGAGA